TTCTCTGTTCTGTAATGCCCCCGACTCCTGAACTGCTGCGCTACTAATGAACTACAGTGGCTCACAGCTTATTCCCAGTCCCAGACCCAGTCCATAGTAAAAATTTTAAATGAAAAGAGATCTCAACAAAAATTAAAATTATTATTAAAACTTAAGCATAAATTCATTTTTTAATCATCTTAAGCTATATTATAATTAAGGATAATTATTATAAATTGACATTAAAAAAAAATTAAGGAACAACCTTGATATTTTGACACTAAGTATGACTTCCCTTTTGTTCAATGATTGCTTTAAGCCTCTTAGGCAACGACTCCACTAATTTCATTGCTCCAAAGTGCTGAAGAGTTTGTCCTAAAGGACACTTTTCGTTTTTGCCAGCATAGCCACCAGATATTGATATTGAAAATTTGTGGGCGATTTTGGACATAAATATTCGGAAAAGAAATATTTCCAACAAAAAATTACCTAAAAATTGCACTTGCTGGGGAAGTAGTGGAGTCGATGTCGAAGACCAAAAGGGAGGTCATACTATATTTTTTCATTTAAAAGATAATGAAACGAATAAGCTGTATGCCAATGTAGCTCACACTAGGGCTGCCAGCTAGTCAGATCAGCATGCATAAGCATGCATAAATATACAAACCACAAAGATACCCTTAATGTTTAGTTTTTGCCTGTTTTTTCGTGAGTTTCATCTGCCCATCACTAATAAGTGCAAAAATGACAGGCTTAGCCAAAAGCTAAACAGACACCAGCGCAATGGGGCAACGGGCGGTTCTGGACTTTTGGCCATGAGTTTCGAAATTCGAATTTTGTGTCGTGGCATCTTAACTCTCTAAGTGTTCGGAGCGACGGGTCTGAACAATTAAGGTAATTAGTACTCGTACAGCCCCTCTTCTGTTGATGCCGCCATTGTTTTGCTTACCTCGCGTTACGTGCAAAGCTATTTTCGTGCTTCATATGTGCCAACATGCAGAAATCAAGCGGCAAGCGTCGGGACAATCTGACTTTCATTTATTTATTTCATTTATTTATGGTGCTGTTTCGCTGTTCATGTCGCATGTTGAATTGTTCGTGTAGAATCGTTGTAACCCCTGATTTGAGCAACCACGCACAGACATCCGGATCGGCAAACGGAGGAACACAAACATTTTTTTACAAAGTTTCTCATTTTTATAAAGTTTATAGCACCGCACTGGCTATTATTATTTGCTATTTTAAAAATTAGAGAGAAATTCTTTATCACGACATACAAATCATTAATATTATGAACCATTAATTTGTAGATATACTAATGTAGATGGCAAAAAACACCTAAAGCTGCGGTGGTCAGAGCATAGTTACAGAAATTTTGATAAGTACTTTATTAATCTGATCCACTGTACATCGCATGCCGGCAATCAGCTTTTTATTTAAATTGTGTAATTCATTAATTTTTCAAAACAAAATAATGCTGCACAAGTGAACATTTGAATATATAATTGCCTGATTTATATAAATTGTACGCACTTTGCATGAGCGCTGGCCCAGCTGTAATTAATTTGGGGTAGAGGATTACGAAAATATGTGATAGTTCTGACTTCTTTCCAACCAATATCTAAATGCATTAGGAGCTTAGTTATCCCAGAATATGGAAAATAAAAGTTTCATTATTGTTTTTTTAAAGCGTCAATGGCAACAAAACCATCTAAGAAAATATTTCACTTTATTGAAGTTAGAGTTAAGCACTTTCCACTAATACATCTTAAATACTTATTCGTTCCTGCACAATCGATACAACAAGAGGAAACCTACTTAAAAGATTGAGAATAAGTTCAAACTCAGTCATGGACAACTTAATGAGCTGCTTAACAAAAATTATTTATTGATTGAGTATTTCAAAATCATTCAGCAGAGCAAATGCTTTGATATCCTTTCGCTCTTCTGCTCTAAATTAGATGTACAATTGCAACATTATGTTGTCTATGTAGCCCAATTAGTAACAATAAGATAATTATCTTCTATTCATAACATTTCAATTTGAATGAAACTGATTTCACGCCCGCTGCTCACTCAAAAAATTCCCCACTTTCATCCGCACCGGCGCACACAAAATTCGACTTATTTTCACACCTAATTTACTTACAAAAGGCTTTAAGTCTAATTCCCAATTTAGAGCGCAGAACAGAGACCGGAGGAAGCTCGTATCGCATCCTGCCAAGTACTACATTTAATTAGAAATCTTTTTCCACTTTTTTGAAAGCGACACGGAATCGGCTTGTGCAGAGTGCAATAAGGTAAGCTCTGAATTTAACAATAAGCGCATTAAATGCGAGCCACGTTTCTCAATTACACCCCGGGGTTGAGTTGCAGGTGGCAGCTCCAAGAAGCAATTAGCTTTTTACTTGGCAAATGCTTAATTTTGTGAAATTGTCAACGTTGAATATAAAATATATGTATGTATGCACTACAATTGTCGACCATGCTGTTTGTACGTCTGATCGCCTATTTTACAAAAAGTATGTACTCGAACAAGAACAACCAAACTTGGTATATAGTCTCTTCTGTTTTAATATACATATATGTACATATATTAATATTAATAATGTATACACATATGTATGTATATGTACTTGTACATCTAGTTTTGCGATTGACTCCCACTTTTCCACTTAAACTGTTTACTGATTGCTGCACCATTTAATTAATAAAACTTTCAAGGAGAATTGGCACGATATTTTTGAAGAGTACTAAAATTTACGTTAATGTCAATACTTTATTAAAAACTAAAAAAAATATGTGTATGTACATTAAAATAATTGGTAAAAATAAATGCTAAGTGACAGATTTTCTAAATTTCCTAAATCAACTCGATATGAACTGCAATGAAGTTAGCCTCCTCATATATCTGTAAGATTTTCTTTTTAAGATTACTAATACTTTTTTTAATCAATTCATGTTATTAGCTTAGTTATTTACACAATTTTTGAATGACACTTTGTTATTCATTGTTTTATTCAAATCTCAATGTGCCAATAAATGGTAAAACGGAATATTATTTGCTCCAACCGCACTCAGAGAGCTTGCCAATTGAAATTTTACAGTAATTATTTTTGTTGCGATTATGAGGCAACAAAATGATCTGGATTTGTGATCAAATTTTGCTCAGCAGAAGCAGCAGCCATACATAGGTAGAATATACATACATAAGTATGTGTACGTACATACATACATATGTATATATGTACATATGTTTGTTTTGTGCAAAAGAATGAACAAAGCATTGCAATTTTAATATACAAACATACATACATATTTAAGTATAAATATACCTACAAAGCATGAAGTTGGATATTTTAGTTCACTGGAATAAGTTCGGTTGTTCTTTTATGGCTTGTGAACGAAATCAGATGTTTACTTAAATAATAAGTTCAGTGGCTCAAAGCTTTCAATACTGCGAAAGCCCCATTCGACAGACAACCAACGGGACGAGTCAGCTGTTCTTTGTTTTCAAAGTTCAGTTCATTCGCATTGCTATTTCATGAGCGGCTTGTGGTGCAATAAAATGTTATTTTGCGATATCTACATACATACATATGTCATAAATCGATGAGTTTTTGTATCATATTTCACAAAAAATTCACGGAAGGAACGCGACTAAAACTGACTTTCCAAAAAATCCAAATAACAGCGAACAGGAAAAAGTAAAACATCTGAAACAGCCTATAAGGGTATTCCAGAATGATGTTTAAGATTTTATTTATATTTTCCTGATCAGGTTCTACAATATGTGCAATATGCAACACAAAAACTTCGGAAAGTTATATAAAACAAGATAAAACGGTACAGTCGAGCAAGCCCGACAGATTTTACTGTTCTGTTCTGTTCTCCACAAAAAAGGAAAATTAAAAAAAAAATTATGCATCGTGTTAAAAACATCGTCGATACACTTACAGCTTTTTTTGAAACGAACTTTGCTTACAAAAATAATACCTAAAGAAAATATGGTAGCTATGAGGTTTTCATAATGTTCAACAATAACACTATTCTGTTTCAATGATATCAGTGCACATCGGCGCAGCAATCAATCACGACTAGCATTTTAGGGTTTTTCTATTTTGTTTTGTATAAAATTTGAAAAGATCTACACATATTATTTGCTGTATTTAAACAAACGACTAGAGAACAACTGTCCATCAAAATAAAATCTTAGATACTAATCAAAACTGGTTGTTTGTCTTCATTTGAACTTTTTTTATTGATTAAAGAACATCGAATATATCGCGAGGCCATAAAAAATCACGAATTACGCACACATCTGCATTCGAGCTTTAAGAGAGGGATGGGCACGTAGTGGCTCTTTGGGCTGCCAGGGCTCTTTCCGTTATGTTTTGGTAAGTGACGCCAGTCAGACACACAAGCAAAAGAACGATCGCGAGCGAACTCACAAAAACAAAATACATGTAGTTGTCGCCAGCCAGACGCAGAAGCCGATTGATGCAAAAACAAAATACACATACATATGCATGTATGTATGTAGTTCGTGTGTCGTTGCTCGATTTTCAGTAGCATTTACTCAGAAGTTTGCTGGTGATTTTTGTTGTAGATGTTGTTGTAGGCAGTGCTGCCATTTTTTTTGTTATTAAAAAAAAGCTGTTTCTAACTGGGAAAAAAACCGAAAATTTACAGAAAAAAATCTTTAAAAAGCGGTTATGGTTTTTCGCAATTTATTTGTTTTAAGGTGATATTTGCCTTAAACTAGTGGTGGCATCGCCAAACATCGATAAAAATAATAATGAACCGCCAGTTTTTTATAGTTTTTATGTGACTGGTGATCAAAATAAAAAAAGCGGGAAACAAGCCAAACACATTTCTAAAAAATCCAGAATTCCCGCAACTCCCAATTTTTTCACGCAACCGGCTTGTAGAAAACAGCTAGATTTGACAGGAAAAAAGCGAATTTGTCAGCCCTGGTTTTATGGCTCTCTGTTTTAAGAGATAGCAGAGTTGCGCCCGAGGAGTCTGATTGCTGCAAGCATCGAAATAGTTTGTAATTTCTAGTCGGTCTGTTTGTTTTAGCGCCTGCTTGCCTTTAAAGTGCATACAAAGTACAATAATTTATATAATTTACTAAAAATAAGTGTATATATATTTATACAAAAGTATGTGTTGGAAATGTTAACTCGACATACCTTTTGTTAATCCATTTGTTTTTAGGCGTGTGCATCGTTTACCGTTAGGCAAGCATGGCAGAAAAGAAGGCAGAGAAAGTAATCAAATGTCGGCTTTGGAACAACGACGGATCGTGGCGGTCGAACGATAGCTCATCAGATGATGACAATGAATCCTTCATTAGTGCAATTTCTCACAGCGACATGGATATTTTTAGGATTTTGGAGCCGCTAACATCGATGCTGCCCCACGAACTGGATAGCATTGATCAGAAGCTACAACGGCTGGTTTTTATAAATCAAACCGATGTAAAATATCATCGCGCATTGCAAGATATTCGCGAGCAAAGCATAGTTTCTATGATATTGGAGCCAAGCTTTTATGGACGTCATCAAAGGACATCCATCATTGTAATTGCGACGGCCAACAACACCTACATCTTCGATATGCAGGCATTGGATTTTATATTTAAGGATTTGCGATACGTGCTTGAAGCGGATCATCCCCGGAAAATTGTGCACTATAGCCATCGAATATGTAACCATCTACTTTCTCTGCATAATATTAAGCTGGGAGGTATCTGTGATACATTTGTGGAGCTGTGCATTGCAAGGAAGCAAAATAAACCCTCAACTTTGTCTGAAGCTATTGCATTGGTTCTTAAAGTGTCATTAAGTGAACCAAAAGAGGTAAGTTATCGTGGTAAATAATCCTCGTTCTTTTCATATGTACGGTTACCTTTGCAGATAACCGAATCACGGCGGTTATTTAAAGCTCGGCCCATGTACCAATACCAGCTTGATTATTTGGCAAAAATGGCATTATATCAAGAAAAACTACACGATCGCCTTATATATGAAGTTGTCTGCGAAAAAATGTTGAGTATGTCGAAGAAATTTAGCGAAAGTTTTGATAAAATTGAATTTGGATCGGACATAATGCTGGGCATGCAGCCTCTGAGTGAACAGGGTTTTGAGCACATTAATCCATATCATTGTGCGATTCCATATAGTGTAAAAATTCCATCGGCAAAGGATATCGAAGCACATGATCATCCTGCAAATAATTTTAATGAATAGGCTATTTATTTAGTGATAGGAATTGCAGTAGAGTCTAAACTAATTTAAATACCGCCAATATATGAGCTATTAATTAGACATTTTGAACGGTTTTCCCAGTATAAATTATTAAGAATGTGTACAACGGCGAACGCAGCTTTTACCAAAGGGGGTAGACAAAAAAATTAAATAATGCACGATGCTTTGAAAAAATAATTTATTCATATGATCAATGAAAAAACTTCAACAAATCCAACTCAGTTCCCCCCTGCGAACGCCATTGTATATGTACGAGGCAAATTTAAATGATATAGCTTTTAACATTTTGGAGAAAACGCCACTTATTCCATAAACATAGCACCAAAGACAGTGTTCATCGACTTCGCTCTTCCGTTGGGCTTTTGCTTTCCGAAACCAACATATCAAAAGTTATAACCTGTACCCGAAAGGTAAAAAGGGCATATTAGGTTTGTGCAAAAAATGTAACAGGCAAAAGGAAGCATATATAAGTATAAGTACATATATTCTTATTCAGCAGAGCGAAAAAATCTCTAGACATGTTCATCTGGGTGAACGCCTGGATTTTCGAAACGTCTGAGCCTACACTGAAATTAAAATAAATGTAATTCTACACATCTGTTTTGAATTTCAGAAAATGCCGTCAATTAAATGCCGTGATTAAATAACGACTAAACAAATTTTCTAAAAAAAAATTACAAAAAAAAATGTAATAAGCCTTTGAAACCTACCAGAATATTGCAAATATGTTTAATTCAACTGAAGGTATACACCCAATTCTGTTTTTACGTGGGTTTTTTCACACGATTTTGATATAACACGGTTTAAAAATTAAAACTTGCATACATATACATATGTATATTTCTTTAGAGATAAGAATCACCTATTTTTGCATATGATAAATGTCTTTTTTTACACGGTTGTTCTTTGGAACCAATCTACCGTGTAAAACAGAATTATGTGTATATTGTCTCCAAGGCCGTACGCAGTAGTAGGAAGGCCCTCCCCTGGGGGTGCCCCCTGTAAAAAAATGTCTACATGAAGTCGACCACACATTTATTATTATGGCGCACTATTTCGCCTTAAAATGGAACAGAGTTTCATGTTTTGAAGTTTTTTCATTGATCATATGTATAAAATATTTTTTAAATGCATCGTGCATTATTTAATCACAATTTTAATTTCTTGACTCTCACCTTTGAAAAAAGCTGCGTACGACCTTGAGTATAACTAGGTGGGCACGAAGTTTTTAATCGAGAGCACTACAAAAAACATCACCGGTAGAGTTATGAGTAAATCCTACTGAGCAACGACACACGCATTACGCGTATTTTATTTTTGCATCAATCTGCTTGTATGTCTCGCTGGCAATAGCTGCATGTATTTTGTTTTTCTAAGCTCGGTCGCGATCGGCACTACTTGTGTGTCTGGCTGGCGCCACTTACCAAAACATGACGGGAAGAGCCCTAGGTAGTGACCACATCTGATTTAAATTAATGAAAGAGCTAAGAAAAATAACGAAAAAAGATTAGAATGAAAAATCGCGATGAGTTAAAAATCGTTTTGTTGTTTTTGAAAAAAAACCCACGACACTAATATTATACTATAGTATATAAGTTGGTAAATCAAAGTAATAAAAACTGTAATTATAGTGAAATTATTTAAAATATATGGAATACAAAATTGTGAATCGTTTGAACCCTAGTTTAAATTAATATTGGTTTGGTGAACTGCTTACCTTTCGCTTTTATTAATTCATTACAATTTAGCAAATTCCATTTCAGTTTATTCAATTATTGTCCCTCGAAATTAAATGCACGGAACACTTTTAAAAATGTAGCAAAATGAACTCATTTTTAAAAAGCACAGCCAAGATGAACGAGTGAACAAACTGAACTGAACCAGTGAATCGAAAATCGCTGTGACTTCACTAGTTCAGTTTGATGAACCATTGAATTAAACGTATTCCGAGCGTGGAGACACAACTCTACTATCCCCACTCGTGTTTCGTAGTTTCGCCGGTCGACCGCACGTGTAGTGAAGTCCAATTGCAATAATAGTTTTGGTTCTTTGTTTTCAAAGCGCTCAAATTTGCATTTAAACTCCCAGAAATGGTAAGTGGACTTTAAAGGTTACTTGCATGAATTAAAAAATGCGACCAATTTCATGATTTTGTGTGAGCTTCTCGAAGTTTCCACATGCTGATAAGTCGCGTTACTGTTGTGTAACAGCGGCAGGGGCTGTGGCAAGCAGCTGCTGCTGAAAAAAACAAGTCAATTGTAATCAATGAATGCATGGTGAAATGTGTGTACTTGCAGGCCGCCGCTATCAAGAAAATCATACCCATGCTAGACCGCATTCTGATCCAGCGGGCCGAAGCTTTGACTAAAACGAAAGGTGGCATTGTGCTGCCCGAGAAGTCTGTGGGCAAAGTTTTAGAGGGCACTGTTCTTGCGGTTGGACCCGGTGCGCGTAACTCCGTAAGTGTTTCATAATACGCTCGTCTTTAGTTTCATATGACATGCCTTACATTATGATGCGACTTTTTCAGACGACTGGCAGTCACATTCCCATTGGCGTCAAGGAGGGCGATCGCGTGCTGTTGCCCGAATTCGGTGGCACTAAGGTCCATTTGGATGCCGACGAGAAGAAGGAACTGTTTCTTTTCCGCGAGTCGGATATTTTGGCCAAATTGGAATAGAAATTGGTTAAGCCTAACACTCGTCTCATAATTCTATGAATTCTTTCTGTTTTTCTATTACATAGTACGTAAACACTCACAATAAAACTGATGCAATGTTTTTGTTTGCAAACCAACATCAAAAATAAACGACCATTAATTCTTTAAACATAATCTGTGTATTTGAAATTCCTAACTAAGAACCACATATGTAAGTACTAATCCAGCTTCAAGTTGGACAGTCCATAGACCTGATTGAAGGCTGAGCGCTGCTTGATATCTGGCAGACCTTCAACAGCTGCACGTTCACGGGAGATTTTCACCAAAGCCTCAAACGAGCGCGGCTCCCAAATTGCCAAATCGGAGAGCATTTTTCTAAGGATACCAAAATTATGTTAAACCACATTTCATCTAAATTCCGCGCAACTCACTTATTCAGCATAATGTCGGAGCGTGCCAAGCCTTCTTTAAATGCTTCCAATGGGACACCATATTGCTGACAACCGGCTTCGACTCGTGTTGTCCACAGTGCAGCCATGTCCAGTTTCTTCAGCTTCCGACCTTTTGTGGCATAGGCGAGCGCTCTATGCACGATTCTCACTGCTAGGGAGTAAACATTGCGGGGGCGATTCCGATAGTGCTAGATAATGGAAATGACAATTAATTAATATAATTAAACATATTTACAAGTGAATCAAAAAGCTGTGTTTATACCGCTGCCATTTTGAATATGCGTCGCTTACGCCAGAATTCATCTGGGCCTCGAGAGCGTACTAATTGTGTTAAACTTAAAAAGACCATTGTGAAGAGTTAAACCGCTGATTTAAGAGTTTTAATTTAAAATTTAGCTCAAACCAAATTATTTTACATAACCCTACACGCAGCCACAACCAACAGCTGACACCAGCAAAGCATCGATATACATTCATATCGATGTGTTGGGATAAAGTTCACTGAACTAACTCCGAATCCTATTTAAGCAGGATTATCCACGTGCAGCTTAAAGCAACTTCTCGTTAGCAAAACTTTTTAGTTTAAGCAATGAAAATGGGATATTTATTCAAAAATTAGCCTAAAAAATCCTACTAAAATTGTGTAAATTTTTGGCGCGTAGTCGATACATCGATTAATAATAAATCGATAGCATCTTGTGCGTATCTTAGAGATGTGCGCACCGGCGTTTTCATTTATTTACGTTTACGCTTCGCAAATGTTGTGAAAATTGCATTTTCAATGCTCCCCATACCAAAAACAGCACAAATTGTTATGTGATTTAGTTATAATGTGCGCAAACAATCAACGTCCAAATCCCCCGTCAGCTGTGTCCAGGTGCTCCGAAGGACACTTGAGTCTATACATTTTTGCGGGCACCGCCGCACTTATCCTGCTGCCCTCTGTGCCGCAGATATATTATGGCATTGTGCCCAATGTTTGGGGCGCGGTGCTTTGGGGTCCCGTGCTCTACTATGCACTAATTAATATGATAATACGATTTGTGCTCCGAAACAACGACTATCAGGTAGGTGCTGCTTTCTTATCTATACCTGTTTGCTGATCTCAGATATTCAAAAACCCTTAGGTGGCGATACGCGCCTGTTTTCTAGGCTTTGTTGAGGCGGTGAGCGTGCTAGTCATTTGTTTTGCGCCCACGCCTTGGCAGCAATTCGGCGTCTACGGCTGCTTTATGGCCTTCTTCCACTACACGGAGTTTCTGGTCATTGCCTGGGCCAACCCACGCACCTTGTCCCTTGACTCTTTTATGCTAAACCATTCGGTTCACTATGGCTTAGCCGCTGCAGCCAGCTGGGTGGAATTTGTGCTGGAATTGTATTTCCTGCCGGATTTCAAGCGTTATGGCCACCTTTGGCTGATAGGCGTAGTACTATGTGCTGGCGGCGAGGTAATACGTAAGGTGGCGATCATAACAGCAGGACGCAGCTTTACACATCTGGTAAGTGATCCGCTATAAACTTTTTACATATACTTAGTTAATTATATTTTTGTTGTTCGTAGGTGCAGGACGAGAAACACTCTGATCATAAGCTCATTACGCACGGCATCTATGCGTACAGCCGGCATCCGTCCTATGTTGGCTGGTTTTGGTGGTCCATTGGCACACAATTCATACTTATGAATCCAATATGCATCTGTATTTATACGCTAGTCAGTTGGCTCTTCTTTCACGATCGCATCTACGTCGAGGAGTACTCGCTGCTCAATTTCTTTCAGTCCGACTATGTGCGCTATCAGAAACGAGTGCCGACGGGCTTGCCCTTTATTAGAGGCCATCTGATTGAGTAACCAGCTGTGATCGCCGTTTAGGAGAGTCTAGCGTGCAATGTCAGCCACACAAATCGCATAAGCAAACAAATTTAGTCTTAAGAAATGAAATACAATCTGTAAAGTATTAGACTCTTGTATAGAACAACAAAAAAAAAGCGAAAGCGTAATAGTAGATAAAAAAAGAGTGTTTCGTAATTCCATTCTTAACTACATTTATACGACTCCTGAAAATAGTAACTTTCAATTATATCTTTATATCTGTCCATTAAGTTCAAATTTTGTATACCGCTTAGTACCTGTATTCCATTATTTTGTGAATTGAACTTACATATTTCAGGATTTCTATAAAAGTTCTCTAAGACTCTAGGACCAACATTTTTCAATAACAGAAAGTTTCAAATATGACAACAAAAATGTATTAGATGCGCCAGAAATTGTGTTTAAATTATATTATAGTAGATATTTAGACTTCGTTATAATCTTTCTAATAAAAGTTTTGCATGCATTTTTCAATCGATCTCCCGTAAGACTGATTTAAAAGCGTTCGAAATATAAAATTGTTAAGATTTTGTATGGCATCTATTTGGTGTACTCTACGGATTTTAATTCAATTTATTTTGTACCAAAGGTCAATTGCAAAAATGCCTGCACGAGAGCTAAATCGATTTACGAGTGTCTTTGTTTAAATGCAAACTAGGAATAAATTTCAATCATTTATTTATTCCCACAATATAATTCTAACAAAAATTAAGTTAGTTAACCTAACAAAAATTCAATGGTGGGGAAATAAATGAAGCGCCAAGATTCCTGAAGTTACAACAAAGTATTTGGTAATCCCAATAAAAGATCTGAGATAAAATGGTTCGAGTGTATTATTGAAAGAAATGGGGCCTACTTCGCAGAATCTGAATCAATCTTGAATTACCCGAGCGATCCGTACAGTTCCGGATTACCTTGGTGGGTGATGTTTGGCTGATCTGGTCAAAATTTAGAATTAAGGTAGCTCTCAACTGTGCTATGCAGCGAAATGATTTCAGTGTTACGCATGCTCAACATTATATTCTACTTTATTTAGATCTAACTAAATTCAAAAATATTACTTGTTTACACATTTATTATTTGAAACAAATTTATCGAAATAGGCAAATTGTTTGCAGAGCTGCCAACGATTTTTGGAGCGCATAAGAAAAGTTAAATAGAATTATTATAATATAGTGGAACTGCAACTGAGTATGATTTGCAATAAATTAATCTTATTAAATTCTTTAATCAGTTGATAAAAAGTGTTCAAATAAAGGTCGAAACTTGAATACCTAAAATTATTTACTGTGGCCACTCGCTTGATTTCTTTATTACAAAGTGTTTGATTGTAATTTTCGAATTTGGATTGTTGTTCGACAAATTCAAATGAAGTGCAGTTTTAAACTTTTGGTTTATCAGTAACTGGGCTGCCAAGAAAGTGCTCTTTTTTGGAAAGAACCCGACCATTTAAAAATCACATCCATTTCGGGCGGCTGAAGCTGTCCAAGAAATAAGACTCCCCAGCTTTGGATCAAAACCGAATAACACCCCACGCCCTTTATTTAGAAAAATAAGCAAACAAATGTAAATATTGAATTGTGCAAAATTTTGTCTGTGATTCTCGCGCGTGTCATTTATTATCAATTTAAATTCGAATATTGCTCTATCTATGTATAAAACACAAGTTCTGAAAGTCAAGTGCGGCGTTATTGTTCATGTTCATTCGGCTGTGGGTGTGTGTGTGTGTGTCTAAGTATAATCGACTATACATACATACATATATACAAACAATTATCAGCGATAGCAAAAATTCAAAAACGCCTTAATCACTAAAACATCATACACTTAATAACGGCAATTGCCAATCAGTGTTTTTTTGTTTTTTCTCTTTATATCCGCACCTGCGCTCTCAGTGTGTTGTTGTTGTGTGTGTGTGTGTGTAGGTGTGTGTGTATAATGTTGTGGTGTGTATGTGTGTGTGTCTTGCAGTGCATGTCTGTTTCTCTCGCCAGGTAGCTTTGTGCGCCGCCACGTTCCATCCCGTCTATTCGACAAACTCGGGCTTGCCCGAATACGTGCATCCAGGATTCTTGATAATGTGTCCGGCCGCATAATTGCCACACCGTATACACACGTCCAGCGACTTGCCCTGCACAAACTGCGACAAGAAGCCACCAACGAATGCATCCCCAGCGCCATTGGTATCCACAATCTCATGCGCCGCCAAACGTGTGACCGGGAATTCCTGCACCGAATCGTGCTGCACCAGCAGCACAGGGTCGCAGCCCTGCGTCAGAATGGCAATGCGAGGCCGCTTCGGATTAAGCTTATCGAGTGCGACTAATCGCTTGCCAATCTCGCGCAGATCGGCATCGGCGGGCCAGCACTGGCCCTCGGCAAAGGCCTTGGCCTCGGCCTCGTTGCCAAATATAATGTCCACATAGGGCATAACGGCCAGCAGCGGCGCCATGTAGAATTGCGATATGAATGGTGCGCTGAGGTTCATTAGGAAAGGTCGCTGTCTGGCATGGGCAGTGGCCGCTACGCGCATTATGCTCGGCGGTGTGACGGTCAAGAAGAAGCCCTGTGGAAGATATATTAATTCGAATTTTTTTACAGACTTACAAGCAAGACTTAACTAAGATATATAGTATACATATATAATCTTTTATAACCCGCAGTAACAATGTTCCCTTTTTAAAATCGTAATACCTTTTCTTTATATTTACTTATAAACTATATATCGATATTGATCCCATAAGTCGATTTGTTGGCTTATATTTTAGTCTACAAATTCCTGAGGTTTGATGAATTTTTAAATGTTCGCAAATTCTGAAAATCCATATTGAACTCAAGCACTCACCGATATATAGTAGTAGAGACCATTTTCTATTAGTGCCTGATTGCGAGGAATATCCAGATGGTCGATAGTAAATTTGTTAGCCGCCGCCAAATTCGCGCAGAGCGAACGATGCGTTCCGGTTATCAGGACGGCACAGGTGCCCGTGGGGGTGTCACACTTCACCTGGTAGTGGACATCTAGCCCGGCGGCGCAAGCTTTTTCCGCCAAAATATTCGCATAGTCATCCTGACCCACACAGCCAAAGAAGACGGCCACCTTGGGCTTGCCAATAATCCATTGTGCAATACGCAACGAATTTTGAACAGAACCACCGGCTAAAAACTCGGCCTGAAAACGCTCAATTAGCTCCCTGTAAATGGGCATGTGACGCTCTTCTGCCAGTATAGCATCATCCTCTTTCATGGCATATTTCTGCAGGAAGTCCAAAGGCACAACGGCCGAAATATCCAGCAGGGGATTGCCTAGTCCCACCAAACTTCCCTCTCTGTAAGCAAAACATAGCCAAGTTATTTATTTCCAGGGTTCTATTTAAATAGTTTCCATGCGACCCCTAGCAGCGAACCTCATTTTGGCTGTTTTCTGCGATAACTGAATGCTCTACCGTCGAACCTTAGAATGTTTTCAAGATTCGGAGCACACAATTAGCAATTGAATTAAGAGACTGACAGACAATCAGTTGCCGATGAACCACGAGATGGCCCGCATCCGTAAGCACTCACACACATACATACAAACATATACACATTGTATGTATAGTTTTACGAATATAGTACATATGTATGTATTGTGATTTACAGTGCTGGCTTGAAAAATATGTCAACTTTGATTTGTAGAGATGAGATACATATGTATATACATATATAATTCAGAAAGAATTCACGAATATTCAACCGGTTTGAATTTGTTTAAATTGAATCTTATATGCATTTAATTAAAATAATTTGAAATAAATCAAAAATTGTTTAAAATTGTTATTAGTAATTTAAATAAAAAGTACTGTGTGTAGCTCTTTCAAAATATTGACGATCAAATGAGAGGTTATTCGTAATGAATGATTTGTTTGTAAATATTTCATCAGGGAAAGTCCCTTTTCAACATTAAAGCTTAAGTACAAACTAAGCTAATCCCCTATAGGATTAACTTTGCTTAAGTAATTTAAAGTATGTGTTTTATTGGTTGTATACCACTGTGTCGAGACGCTACTTGCGTCACTGATAAGGTGAGGCTAAGGCGCGATAACCGAAGCATTTATTGCGGACATAAATTAATATTAAGCAATTGCTGAAAAGTCGGGCCAATTTTTACTTCAACCACTTGTTTAATTTATAGACAGGCCCTGGCAAGCTTGAGTCTATTACTTTGGTCGGCCAAACTACAATATCTTTTTTGCTGTTCACGTTTACAGATAACGATAACGCAGAAATTCCATAGTTGTGAAGTGAGCTTGCACACGATTTTCACATATCATTGCAAATTATTGGGCAATTAGATAGGTGCATATTATATATATGACATACATACATAGCTTATCAAACTATTTATCCGAAAACTTACCGAAGCGTGTCCGTCATTATTGTTGTTTTCGATGTGGCTGTTGGGTGGTGCTGGTGTCGTTTGCTTATGTAAACATAAATACACGCGAGTTACAGCTCTTGCAACTCCACAATTAACCTAATGCTTTAATTGTTAGTGGTTGGTTGTTTCGTTATCAGGCGTTAGTTTTGAATAATTTAACGAATTCTTTTTGTTTGGTTGTTGTGATGGCCCTTTCAGTTGCAACTCCATACACTCCCATACAACAACACGTGTGCGGTGATGTTTGAATGGGCCTGCTAACTCATTCTAATGTTGGCAGTAGCAGTACACAATCAGCTGTGCGGGGCTTTAGGTTCAAAGCGCAATCTGATTCAATTTAATGTGTTAGCTGATAGGTTCATTTTTGAATCATGCATTAAATCGTTGGCACAATAAATAATAAGAGCAATGCATTTGTTATGGTCTAACACATAAAGTCTTTTTTTTAACTGCACAAAAAAAAACTAGCTTAGTTTAATTCAAATTTATGTTACATCCAAAAGGAGGTGTGGCTAAACCCACAAGTATAGGTATATATTTTTGATTATCATATATATGTACATATATAGACGACGAGTCAATATAGCCATGTCCGTAAGTTTGTCCATCTGTATAAAATCAAAGGTTTCGGATAAAAATACAGGTAGAATAACCAATCTTGGGTTCCGAGATCTTCTAGCTCCGAAAAGGGACAAGTTTGTGCTGTTTTTCCTGTTACTAATTGTTCTAAGTATATCTCACTTAAGTTTTGGAACTATTTACTTAAATTTTACAATTACGAGTGCTTATGTGTACAGAGTTTTTAATTGACTATGTAATCTAGTCAATTTTAATTATTAATGCTTCTAACGGGCCGATAACAAATAATCGTTTCGCATTCTATAGCAGCCAACTTTTGTCTGCATGTAATGGCACACAGCTGATAGCTGTCAAACTACATACAGCATGTAGTCGGCTGTCACCGCCTTGGGTTTCTTTCTTTCCGGTTGTCAAAAAGGTACGAAAGCAGAATTTTCTTTTGAAGCCGCAACAGCGAAAATAATTCTTGAAATTGCGGAACATCATGAGATTTATTAATAAAGTTATTCTTGATTACAGTGCATCCGCGTACCTAATTTTGAAATATGGCCGACGTTGATGTGTAAGTGCAACTTATAGAATTATAATAATTGAAACTAAACTGCTAGTTTTGTTTATTGATGAAATTAATTGGTCCGTGTTTATGAATTTTGGTTGAATATATCATTCCAATTACTGAATTTACATACATGCAACTATGATGGGAATTTTTGATGATGCGGTACTATAATTTAGCATATTTTTCTCATTTTCTTTTCTATGTGCGTGTCTCACAAAAACAACACAACAGTGATGTGCCCTCTGCTGCGCCCGTCGTTGGCGGTGCTATGGATATTAATACAGCCCTGCAAGAAGTCCTGAAGAAGTCGCTTATTGCCGATGGACTCGTGCATGGCATTCACCAGGCTTGCAAGGCTTTGGACAAGTAAGTGAAACAAACCGGTATTTTTGCCGCTTATTTTTATATGTAGAGCCCACGCTGATGATATTAATTGGTCCGTGTTTATGAATTTTCCATTGATTTGAATCTTCCAATTACTGAGCATCGATATATTTCAACAAAGTGTTGAACATTTTGGAGCAATTTTTAATGAAATTTATTTTGTTTGTGGTCTCCCAACAGGCGTCAAGCTGCGCTCTGCATTTTGGCCGAATCCTTCGATGAACCCAATTACAAGAAGCTTGTCACAGCTCTCTGCAAAGAGCACGAGATTCCCCTGATTCGTGTCGACTCGCACAAGAAGTTGGGCGAATGGTCTGGTCTGTGCAAAATCGACAAGGAGGGCAAGCCACGCAAGGTCTGCGGCTGCTCAGTGGTTGTCATTAAGGACTACGGTGAGGAGACACCCGCCTTGGATGTTGTCAGGGATCATCTCAGACAAAACAGCTAAACTATGCGTGTGTGTGTTTTCGTGCAACGTTAGGAACGTGTTTGGGTCACGCAAAATGAGATAATGGCCGAAGTTTTTTCTAATAATAAAAACATAAGAAATCCACAAAGTTTGATTTTTGGAATGTTCATTAAACGTGCTTTAAATAGAAGTTACAAAAGAAAAGAGTAAATAATTAATTACTGGCGAGACAGGCCTCCTTATGCTGTGGCCAGTCCTTCAGTTGGCAGTTGCTGCAACAAATGTGAAATGTAATTAGAAGAGTTCACAGTAAAATCTTCATTCGCCTACCGTGAGCAATAGTAGACCTGCTTGCACGTGGCACACTTTTTGGCGGCCTTGTCTTTACAAGTGGCGCATTTATGGGTGGCGGATGATGCCGTCTCTGACGCCTCTGCATTGCTATCGGCATCACCGCCTGCGCCGCTGTCCTTGTCCTCGCCGGCCAACGTCTTCATCTGCAGATCGGCCATGTTTTGCTCTAATTCGCACAACAGATCCGTGCTATAGGCCCCACTCAGGCGTGTGGCCAGCGCGGTAATTTGCTCCTTGTCCTTGCTGAGAAAAACGCTGTCCTGCGCCTGTGCTATTTGGTAGAAGCCGCCATCGAGCTCTGCTTGCTTCAGCAGCTGCTCCTGTATTATGGGCACATCCTCCAGCAGCAGATTTTGATCCTTGTTGGCACTCGTATTGCCGCTCAGCGTCAGGCGGCTAAGAAACTGCTTTAGCTCTATAAGCACGGGCAACTGATCCAAAAGCGTGTCGTGCATGAATCCCAGCAGCTAAAAATCAAATAAAATGCAGATAAATCGAGTAGAATAAATTGAGGTTATGAAACATAATAGTTTTCAATTTCTATGGTCTATACTAAGTACATATTACTGAATTAGATTGGCGTCGTTGGGAGACAAATTAGACTTATTAAGACGAGTTATGAATGATATTAATAATACCAGTACAATAATACCATACAAGTTGGAAGAACATGTCCAGTCTTGAGCAAAACTATTTGGAAGTGTACAGTTTTACTTCGTATGCTTCGTATATATAATCTTGTAAATAGGTTCATGATTAAGTCTATACTCAGTATTACTGAATTAGATTGGCGATATTGAGAGACAAATTAGACTTATTAATACGAGTTATGGAAGAACATGTTCAGTCTTGAGCCTAACTATTTGTAAGTAAAACTGTACTTTATGCTTTGTATATAATCTAGTAAATAGGTTTATGGTAAAGAGAGAGCTTGTTTAAGAACAGTATTATTATTATTACGCACCTTGGAGAGCTGCTGACAGCGAGCCTCGTTGAGGGCATAGTTCGCCATTAGCTTGGGATTCAGGAGTAGTTGGCGCACACAGAACCAAGCCTGTGCCTCGGGCTTGACAATTTTGGCCGCATCCTCTACGGCTGTCCACTTTTCGTCGATGAATTTCTGTAGTCCCTTACTGGTGCGACGCTGCCAGGGACGAAAGCTGAGCACATCAGCCATCAACCAGGGTATGTCATGAGTCACCAGCAAGCGGCGTGTGGCGCCCAAGTGGAAGAGTTCCGCATTGTCGGCCATGTAGTTCAGCAATGAGATGCAACGCATACCAATCTTATAGGTTAGGTCTCTCTTCTGGCGCTCCAGCTCGGTCAAAACGGCCTCATCGACATCGAGCTTGGACTCGTTCTCATGGTAGCCCATGCTCACCAAGCCAATGACCTGCGACACAGCCTGTGCGCAGTAATCCACGAGATCCAGCACGGAATCTTGCAAGGATTCGCAGCCACTGGGATGGTAGAGAGACATGTCCAACAAAGCTACCGACGCCGCCTCATGATACAGCACAGTATATATGAGAAATGTGGCCTGTGGATTGGGATCGATCTCCAACAGATGCGGCAGTACACGCGTCTTCCACAGATTTACGCAATACATCTCATTTATTAGGAGACGCAGCTTGTCGCGCGAGATCAGAAACTCCTTGACCTCCTCCTCCCGCTGCTCGGCAGCCTCTAGGGCCGCCTGCTGGCTCAGCTTTATGATCATTTCGTGGACCTCCAGCCACTTCTCGCCGCCCACCTCGCGCACGCTAAAGGCCCGAATGCTCTCCACAAAAAAGTACAACTCCTCGGGATATACAAAGTTTACCATTTTGTTATTTTAATATCCTCCTATAATTATCTCGTGTATATTTTTGAAAATATGTATATCCGGCTTAGCGTTTGTTGAAAATATGAAAATAGCTTGTTGGGTTGCTACAACAAGTCCCGGTTGCTATGTTAATAGTTTTCCATTAATTCCAAGCATCCGATGTTGTTAAGGATGTGGGTACAATTATTATTGTAAAGCGCAGGAATACTCTTCAAATCCCTTCACTGAAAAGTGAAAATTTTAAAGCAATTGTTCTAAAACGTTCAACTGAAATAGTAAAATATCCGAGGTTGTTAAGGATGTGGGTACAAATTTTATTATAAAGCGCAGGAATGCTCTTCAGTCTCTTCACTGAAAAGTGAAATTTAGAATGCAATTGTTCTGGAACTTTCAACCGGAATATGAAAATAGATTACACGCAAGTTATATGTCCGAGATTAATCAGCTCATACGCCCACCCAATAAATAATTTTTAAACTCGTTAACAAACAACTTTTCTTCGTTTCACATAAATAATATCTTAAATCCTATAGAATGAAATACCATATCATAATCATATTTGTCATAGATACAATCTCTTTTAAAATGTTTTGTATTATAGACTTTTTTGTTTATACATACTTGTAAGTATAGGAACAAACAATATTTTTCCTAGACCTTCAGAGGTACTTGTAATCCGAAATTCGCTAGCTCGATTCTGACTTCTCTACAAAGCTATTTATATGGTTTGACATTGGAAGAAATGACTTGTCGACCCGCATTACAAGAAAGAGAGAGTTTCCTGATAACAAAAATAATGCATTTCTCTTATTTATTTATTTAATTCGAAAGTAAATTTACATGCTTCGGAAAGTAGTTTCCTGGTGATATTTCTTTTTTAACAAAAACTCTTCATATAATGACTTTAAATTAAAAAGATTTCCACTCAAAAATTAACAAGATTTAATTGAACAGGCAGCTTTATTTTATTCGTATATACAAGGGCGTAGGCCGCTTTTTTTAAAAGGGGGGCCAAAGAATTTAAATTTTGATTTAATAATGCACAATTCGTTTAAATAATAAGTGATGCATATGATTAATAACAAAATTTCAACAAATCCAACTTGGTTCACCTCCCTTCACGCCTTTGGGTATATTATATAGATGATACATACAATATATATTTGTTAGTTAGTCGTTTAAGGAGGAACCAACGAGGTCTCTTTAAGATTGGAGCCATTTCTTAAGTGCTATCAAATAATTGTTCATTGAGGTTCGAAAAATGAAAATATTCCTATAATATTGCAAGACACCAAACTTCTAATCTTGACCACTCTTGACGGCACTAACATATTGCATATCATTCCACTAGCACTTAAGCTTCTACATCCCGTAATATTTAAGCCTTAACATCAAATTTGTATAGAAATAATTTTTAATTTGCTTCATTATTGCTACGAGTATAAGATATTGCCAAATCTTTGGACTGAAATATCTTGTTGTGAAGATTTTACAGCAGTCCGTCCAGCACTAAAATGTCCTATTTAGTTTTAACTCTACTACTTACCTAATAATTAGACTCCCTAAAAGTTTCGTGGGTTTGACCGATCTTCGTTTGAATTTTTTTTATACTTACATTTTGTATTTAACAAATAAATATATGTACGAGTGTACACATTCCGAGTTTATTTAAATGGAATACATACATAAGTGGTTTTCTAATTTATTGTAATTATACAGGGTATTTAGATCTTGCTTTTGTAAAACATTTACAATTCATACTTAATGCGTTTCTAGGGGGATGATTAAGTGCTAGAATCTAAGAAAAAATCAATCTAATTGCGCGTTATCTTTAGCAGTTTGGCACCAACACTTTAACTATAGATATTTGACATTCTAAATACCCTTGAAAATGGTATTATTAATATCAAACAGATCAAAATCTTATCAAATAACTTTAATTTTTATATCAAAGAAAGATGAAAGTAAATTAATATACATCGTTGCCATTAAGAAGCCATGTTATCACATTCATGAAATTATTTAGATATAGACCGGGTAAATCATATGTCAAAACGTAGTCGGAAGCTACCTTGAATTGAACCGAAAACTAAATCTACAAATTGGTGGCACTTGATATTAAGATATGCTTGGGCAAAGTTTATATAATATTTCACAATTCAAACAATCAAAAACCCATACAACAAACCCGTCAAGATTATAGAATATTGGCTCTAAAAAAATGCTAATTATTTCCCAAAATCTCTCCAAAATAAATTTGCAATGCTTTGATCATAAATTGAAGTTATGCGGGAGGGTATCAGTTTGTTTTGTGCCGAATGGGGTTTGTTTTTGATGGCTAATTATTCCATCAATTGAATTACGGATTGCCGCTGCCTAAGCTACGCAAATATCGAGACAATATGCAACTAATATAATCACAAGTTCAGGTAAAAAGAGTTTGTGTTTAGGACTAGCGGCCTTTTAACGATACAGCTTTACTTGCTCCTTCAAGTCCACCTCGCTCATGCCATTGAGATTGAGTTCGGCCTCCTGCTTGCGCAGCAAATCGAATATAGCCGCCAGCTGTTCACTTTCAATGCTATGGGAATAACAATGTCATTAGATCAGTTGGAGATAATGAGCCTGTCCCGATCCCGATCTGTTCCCTTACCGTCGCTCTTCCTCCATCTGCTTGGGTGTGAGATTCTTCTCCAGTTTGCGTTGGTACCGTTTGGTCTTGAACTTGCTCACAAGATGATTATAATGGTACGGAGACTTTGCTGCAGTGCCTCCTGATCCTTGCTCCGTTTCACTATCACTGAGCAGCTCATCCTCGTAGGCTTCGTCGTCGTCGATTTCGGATTGTAGGCGAGCACGCAATTGTGCCTGTATTTTCGGGTCATCTTCTAAGCGCACCTCATCAGCGCCCAATCCCTCGTCCTCCTGTTCCTGAGTGTGTATGCATTTAATTGCATTGCTTCAAATGCAGGGATGTTTTGAGTTACTTACATCGTCCTTGAAGAAATTGGTAAAGTAGAGCGCTATTAAAGCGCTTACAAGCAATGCTGCCAAATAGTAGCCGGAAAGACCAAAAAAGATGCCGTCCAGCGAATAGAGGATCTCCTGCATTTTATGTTGTTTACTTTAAAAAGCTTGTTTTCGTTTTGTTCCTCTACCCCAACAACGATTAAATGTTTTCGCTGCTTCTTCTTAAAAGCAATTGTGTTTACTTATTCGGACTGCATTTTTATCGCGCAAGTTGGCAGTTTTCGCCCTTGTTTCCTAAAAACACCATCTGTTAGAAACATGCCGACTAAAGCTCAGTGCTATGATTATTCCAATACGGTATGGTAGCTGACATCAGGTTTTTTCAGACAGGTGGCAACCAATGCCGGTGTTTTCACATTTGTTTATGTTTTAGTTTCCAGCCTGATTAGTCGCAATGTATCCTGTTAGTTCGCAGAAGAGATCCTGGACCTTTGCAAATGAAACACTGCTGCAGGCGTTCCGCGTGGAGCAAAACACCAAATATATAGAACTACACAAAGAAGAAGCCCAAGGGCGGGAAGACTATTTCCTCACGCCCGAAGAAGAGCGGCTGCTGCTTAAACAATATGAAGTCTACCTCGCCGATTTTTGCCGGCGTTTTGAGCCCACCATGCCCAAGTGCGTTGTAGGCACTGCGTTTCATTACTTTAAACGCTTCTATTTGAATAATACGCCCATGGACTATCATCCAAAGGAGATACTGTAAGTTTTTCAGCTTAAAAAGAGGCAGATTAATGAAATATTTCATCCCCAGCGCCACGTGTGTGTTTGTTGCCTGCAAAGTGGAGGAGTTTAATGTTTCCATCTATCAGTTTGTAAACAACATTAAAGGCGATCGCAACAAGGCCACCGACATTGTGCTTTCCAATGAACTTCTGCTAATTGGTCAATTGAACTACTACCTAACCATACACAATCCGTTTAGGCCGATCGAAGGCTTTCTGATAGACATAAAGGTAAGTCTTAAAGTAGCTGTGAATAATGCTAACAAAATTTCGACCTTTTACTGTATTTTAGACACGTAGCAATATGCAGAATCCAGAGCGGCTGCGTCCGCACATCGACAGTTTTATTGACCAAACATTCTTTACGGATGCGTGTCTGTTGCATACGCCCTCGCAGCTTGGTTTGGCGGCTGTGCTTCACGCCGCCAGCAAAGAACAGGAGAATCTAGATAGTTATGTGACGGATTTACTATTTGTTTCGGCGCGGGAGAAACTTCCGGGCCTGATCGATGCCGTCCGCAGTGAGTAAAGACAACAAGTCCGTCAAGCTGTGAATAACAACCTTTCCACAATTTACAGAAATACGCATTATGGTGAAACAGTACCAACAACCAGATCGAGATCGAGTAAAGGCCATTGAAAAGAAGTTGGACAAGTGTCGTAATCAGGCAAACAATCCAGATAGTGAGCTGTAAGCGCAGTGCACAAACTAAACTCGAAAAATACCTTCTACTAATATAAATATAATTATTTTCAGCTATAAAGAACGCTTGCGTCGTCTCTATACCGATGAGGACGATATACCTGCTGATGATGCTTCATTTCACATAGCCGACGTCAGCTCAGAGACGTCCACAATGAATATCAGCCAATGAGTTCGGGATTTTTGAATAAATTGTGTCAACATGTCCATTTATATTGTTAGATTATTTGGTAAAAAGTTAAACATTAATTTCCTTTTGTTAAAACCGTTTATTTATTTCAACGCTTATATTAAAAGTTGCTATAACAATACATATACATGTACTATGATGCTGTTTTTTTTTTTAATATATATATATTTAATATATAAGTGCACTTGTTTTTCTTTATTCATGGTTTCGTGTCCATTTTAGAATGTGTGGAAGTTACTGATACTGCGTTCGTTTGGGAAGGGGAAAAGGATACGACAACAACAATGAGATTACTACGATTGGAAGATGAACTTTTTTATATTTTGGAGTTAGGTTTATTATCCACCAGTGGCATTAAAGTCTGTCAGTAGTTATAACGGAAGTATATAGTAAAAAAAAATAAAAACGCATATAAAAAATGCAAGACGCAGCGTTAACGGAAGAATTGTGGTTTGGAAGCCATTCCTGTGGGTGTTTTTTTTTTTGGGTGCTCGTGCAAATTCGTTTGTGTATAAAATTTTCTCAAAAATTACCAATTTTTGATACGAGTGTTGGTCAATAAGTACCCACAAAAATCTATTATGAAGTCTCATACAATCCAAAAATCACGCAATGTTGCTGAATTGTACTAAAATATAAATAAATAAAACGGAATTCGCTTTTGAAAAGATCCACTGATAGGAACTGTAGGGACATAACAAAGACGATTCGTCCTTTCCGTTGCTTTCTTTATCAAAATTTCTTCGTTTACGTAAATAGTTTATAACAGGTTCCTAAATTTATTTCAATATAACCAAAAATTTTCTTCATTTACAAGTGTAATTCAAGTAGGGACAGTGAAGAACTTTTACGATTTCTTGAGGAACACTAATTATTAATAAATAAATAAATTTCCTTTATAATTGAAGTTTGAAAAAGAGGATATAGCTTCCAGCTTTTCTGTTTCATTAATAATTTGGATTCATTTCGTTCGCTAAACTATATGTGTATAAAAAGTTTCTTCCTAGCTTTCAAAATAAAATTATAACTTACAAAGTATAATAAAATTGAGGAAAATATTTAAACATTATTTTTAGATTTTTGGAGTACGTTCTTGAGCGCTTCTCGTAACTTGTTTTCTTGTAATAAATTGTGCAATTATCTAATATTAATTTAATGTTATCGATTTTAATCAATTTCTTTTACTAAAACCAAACGTAATTCTGGCCAATTATATATTTTAGTTGTTTATGCAAGCGGAACTGCACAGGTCGTGGTTTCGGGGGGCCCGATGGGAGGACCTACTGATAGTCAACGGAATCACTGTCCAGCAATGTGGAGGAAACGCGCGACGTGCGTCGACGCCAGTAGTCCGTATATTGTGACTCGTACTGTGCAGTTGAGCGCCACGGTGGCCATTTCAGCTATTCCTCAACAATGTCCCAGACCATGAGGGAGGCATCTGTGCCGCCCACAGTAATGAGTGTGTGGTCACCACATAGGAAGCGAGCGCAGGCCAACATTCCTGAATATACCTTAGTCTCGTGGAATTCGGCACGAGGCGAGATGCAGGGGTATCTGGCAAAGAAGCATGTTTAGAAAGGTTACAAAAAATCATAGATTGAAATTGTTATCTGAAGCTGAAATGTTACTAAGACACACATGGCTTTTATTTATTTATTTATTTGTTAAATAAATCAGACTTAATGGCTTTTCAATTTCGAATAATAATATATACATACATAATATGTAATGTCTTTAATTTATATTGGATATTTTTTGATATTTCGAACTCTAGCAGAATTTAGAATCTATCAGCCTTTTATAGTAGGTGCTTCCGAAAAATCTTACAGTTGCCTCAAAACTCGATTTGATAAAATATTTGATATTAAATTGATCGCAAAAGAACTTTATTAAAATAGCAATAATTTTAGAAATAAACTATGGTTAGTATCTTCCTGAATTATAAAAGATGAGTTAAATAGGGGAGTATAGGAACAGTTCAAAGTTAAGCTTTAATTTATCTATAAAATAATACAACATTTTAACAAAATAAAAAAAAAAACAACTTCGGATTTAATACATGGTTTTCTCATGAATGCAATTGTCAGAACTGGACAAAAATCAAAATCGGTTCACCCAGTCGAAAATTCTGAGGTAACAACAAATACAGTCGAATTGAGAGACTTTTTGGTTTTTTTTTAAGTCGGTTAAAAATAAAACAATCTCTAGAGATTTCTGGCATACGCTTCTAAATGAAAGTCTTCCAGGCCTAGTACATTTTTATTTCCATTTGTCGTTTAGTCTCACCTGAATAAGCGCAAATAGCCCTCTGCATCGCCAGAGACGAGCATGTCCTGCGCTGCGGAGCGACTGCAGGTGGCTATAATGGTGTTAGCGGTGCTGTAGTAGCGGTTGCTCCATTGACCGGCCACTAGAAAGCCCACTGTGCAATTATTGGTCAGCCACTTGACGTCCTTCATGGCAATGGGACTGCGCTCTGGCGACAAAGACTTCGCATCCCAGAACAATAGATCGAAATCAATGGTCACTGTCTGCACAAAATTGCCGTCCATGCTCCAGTCCAGGTGTGTCAGCGGCTGAGAGCCGCGTATTTTATTCACTTTCTTGTAAGAGAAACCATCGCGAGAGACGCGGAAGAGATAAATGCTGCCGTTCTGCGAGCCCATGGCAATCATATCACCGACTGAAAGGAATTTCAAGGACCATTCTTTTATAAGGTATAAGGCAACTTCAAATAAAATGTACCCTTCGAATCGAATCATATTTCATATACTATATATAATTCTATAGTGTGTTAGCTCTTACCCTGATTGTAGGACACACAGTTCAAGGGTGAGCCGCAAACGCGCAGCGTTAACATCACCGCTCCATTGTCACAATTGATGACCAGCAGATGGCCCTCCGTGCTGCCAGCAGCCAGAGCCGTGCCAAATGGATGAAAGGCCAGGGCCACGCACTCGTAGCCCGTTTGTATGGTCCAAATGAGTTTGTTTTTGCGCCAGAGCGCCACATGCTTATCATGTCCGGCCGTCGCGTATAACTCGTCCTCGGGATGTGCGGCCAGACCCCACAACTGACGCCCATGACCAAAGACGACCTGCGTGAAGCGTCGCTGCAGTGATCCCTCCAAGATGTTGTTCCGTGTGGTGCCAACATAGATGTTGCCATCGTTCCGCCCCGGTCGCTGTGGATAAATGGTCCGAACGCCGCCGGCCGCTTCGGGAAGCTATAAGCACAAATCAGAGATACCGATTTCATATTTTAATGTCATTTTAAGTCCAAGCTCAACTGAACAATTAATTATTACATATTTTATTAAGGCGTGAATTCTTTATTCCAATTACAAGTAAGTGTGTAATATAGCGATCTTATCTTATCGGAAAAAGGTCGCCCATGGATAAAAATGGTGTATTATTAAGTGATAAGCTATTATGCATTTATTTATTTATTTTATAAGAAGTATTAAAAAGTTTAAACTTTTTTCAGAACAAAAATTTGAGGGCTAAAACAATTCCGGCTCGAATAGCTTCATAAAATATTGGACTTAGTATTTTTTCATTTATATGTTAATTTCGTCAAAAGGAAATTATAAAGTTTTCGGAAAAAGAAATTCAATAATGTATGTTTTTAGTTTTTATGAAATTGTCTTAAAATTGCTTTCATTCTCCGGAATAATAGGTATACAAATGGGCACGGATAGGCCGTCTATAGATAATTTATTTGTCTATAACAATTCGTTTTGGAAGGTGGCGATAAGTGAGCTTGTAATGGGGTCTACGTGAAAGGTGCATCCCAAAATAAACAGGAATTTTTAAAATTCTGGTTTGTAAAAATTTCAGTACAATTGGATAGAAGCCGAGTTATCGCAGAATAGCAATCCAGCAAAGAGCAAATGTTAGGTTCTTTAAGTTCAGTTCTCGGTAAGATTTTTTCGGAAACGTTTCAGCTTTGAAATAAAATAGATCATCGTTTATCTTAAGACGGAGTGTACGAGTAGTATTCGTAATTCATGAATGGTTGTGATGTCTTGAATGACAACGAGCTACCATTCAAAAAAGCTTGTGAATTTATCAAAAGCCAGCCGAAATCGTAAGTATAAGCAATGGAAATGGATTCAAATTTATCCAATTCAACAATTTATCGCATTTTAAGCGAATAACTGGGGCTCATCGGTCAAACTTGATAAAGAAATCGCACCAACCACACCACATATTTGCCTGATTTTGTTCTATGTGCGGATTTACGTAGCGGAAAACTGCATTTTCTCATAAAAGAGAAGCCGAAGCTATTCAAAAAAAAAAAAAAAAAAAATAATAATAATAATAAAAAAAAGTGCGAAATAGACGTTAGTTTGAAGTGGAAATATAGAAAGTGAATCAAAAACACGTCTTGTCCAAGGCACTAACTGCAGATGAATTCCAATACTGCCTTCAAATAGTCTAGTCTTGTCTGCAGTCTAGTGTCAAATGCCCATTTTTAATGATATATAACATTATGCGAATCAATACTGTAAATAAAAAGTTGTTGGTGAAAATCCCACCTTGGTATCTGCAATTTTTTTATAGTTCTGCAACGAGTCCCAGGCTGCTATTTTGCGATCTTTTTCGCCGCCGGACAACAGCGTTCCCTCGCCCAACATTATCAGACATCCGATGCCTTTGTTATGAGCCTCGAACTCAGTGCGCACAAAGTAGGCGCCGTCTGAATCCACGGAGTAGATTGTAATGAAACCATCCGAATCGGCGGTTATGACATCACCATCCGGCTCAAACTGTACGCTGGTGACGTGAGAACGCGATGGCTGCTTGACAATGTCCGTGCGCTCGAAGAAGCCGTCCTTGCGACGATGCCAAAACGCCAAATGTCCTCGACCGTGTGTGATGATCAGGTTATCGTCCAATGGATGAAAGGCGGCACCCGATAATCCCTCCTGCAGAGTCTGTAAGGCGAGAGTACGATATTGAGATAAGAGGGTTCTAATTATGAAATGAATCGAGGAATGATAAGAGTCTTGAAACACAAATTCGAAAATGTGGAACAAATTAAATTGTTTTGGTGATCCCATTATAAAGTGGTTTACAACCAAAGTTTTTACATTTCCTCTCCAATGATAACATCACTATATTCCTACTTACTGCGACTTTTCCAAGCAGATGTCCCCATTGCCATTGCCAAACAGACAAGATGCTCTCACGTCCACTGTCCACAGCGAGAATGTAGCTGCCACCGTTCTGGATAAAACAATCGAATTCGTTAAAGCCTCTTCTTTAATGTTTTGAGATAGGAAGTGCATGTTACCAATTGCGAGAAGGCCACAGCAGTAACACCGCTGTCCAGCTCGCCCATGCCAAACACATAGAGAGTTTGCAAGGACTCGGTGCTCCAAATGCGGACATGTGCCTGTGACTTGCGATCGCGACCGGCCTTCTGACCTGAGGCCACAAGCTCACGGGACGGATGAACATCCATGCTTTGAACGAAGAATAAAAGATTTGAGATTATTATAATTCCTCATCATTTTTCTCTCTGACATAACTCACCACATGATATCCTCAGTGTGGCCTGTGTAATGACGCTGTGCATCCTCATCGCGATCCAAAAGCACGGCCACAGCGGCCACATAGTAGAGCAGCTCCCCGGAAGGTAGAACCCACAAATTGCGACGGGCGTCGATGCCGCGATAGCCGTGCCTGCAAAGTAATAATGAGTGCTTTAGGTTATACATTTGGAAACTAAACGGCTTCTAATCATATTAAATGGAATATATTCTATCACTATATCAACCAGAAATAGCAAACTAACTATTGAGTTCTTTATCTCAAAGTATTATAAAATATTTTTCTAAAATGTGGCTTGAAAAATGTGATAAATAGGAACAATTTGAAATCCATAGTTTAAAAGCAATTTGAGTCTGTTTTTTTAAGATCCATTCATGGGCATAAGCACATGATGAGAATGATATTGCATTTCGGATTTTATTCGTTTCTTTCTTTAAACTTGTTAGAAGAACATTCTAGAACGTGAATCCTTTCTTAAATCGATGTGGAAGTGCAATTCCTGCCATGAAAAATTTATCTATTTTTAATTTGAATTTGTATGAAGGAACTGCCCTTAAAACTTCTATTCCATCAATGGAATGTATAGTAGTTTCGCGCTGTAAACATTTTGTTGAAATTACAACAAACAGACGGATAGAGATTGATAAATTTATAAAAAATGTTGTGTAAAGTATTTGCACTTATTAAAGAAATAGGCTGATATTTTTGCTTAAAACACACACTTTAACAAGAGAGAACGCTACAGTCGAGCAAGCCCGACAGTGTAATACCCTGCACCCAGGTAAACTTCCGTCAGTGAGTTATATGCGCCCATAGCAGCAGCAAAAAGAGGAAGAAGAAGAGCGAACTTGTTGCTGCAGTTTGGGGGGGTTGTACTGGCGAGAATTTGTTTAGCTAATAACTTTTCTTAGAATTTACCGAATTGAATAAAATTTTGAACAACAGTAGACAATTATATATAAATTCTGTGTGCAAAGTTTGGTTTAGGTAGCATTTGAAATGTGGACGCTATTGACAAAATTCTGTAGCGGGGGAAGGGGGGGAAATTAAAAAAAAAAACATAAACTCGTCCTTACTCGGACCTAGGAGAATCTGGATGCCAACTTTGGTTATTCTAGCTTTTATAGTTTCTGAGATCCTTGCGTTCATCCAGACGGTCGGACAGACGGACGGACGGACAGACGGACGGACATGTCTAGATCGATTTCTCTCGTCATGCTGATTCAGAATATACAGTGAATCAATAAAGTCTTGGCACAAGCAGAATTTTTTATGAAAAACGTATTTAATACCTATTATTGATGGGCTTTGAAAATTTTTTGTGATGCAGTTAGTAACATTCGGTAATTATCTACACAACACATGTGAAATTGTTCCGTTATCTCTCATACAACTGAAAATATACAAGAAAGAAGAAAGAAATAGCTTGAAAACACATCAAAAAAGTCTTGGCACACAGCATTAATTCGTCGTGTATTTGCGAATATAACGGTAACCTTTCAATTTTCTTTGATCTGTTTCTTACTCTGTCTTCAATAATTGCTCATTCCTCCATTTCCTTGTGATTTGAAGTTAGTTTTGCTCTTAAGTTGGTGACAAAGCGATCAAAATGGGTGGAGGCATGGAAATTTCAGTAGAAGTCCGTAAAATGATTATAAATCTCTATGTCCAGCGAAAAAGTTATCGCGAAATTGGCACTATAGTTGGCAAACCATTTTCAAGTGTACGAAACATTATAAAGCACTACATAGAAAGCGGCCAAGTGGAGCATAAATCCAGAAGCGGGCGGCCAAAAAAATTTACACAACGCCAGGAGCGGGTAGTAGTCGCTGCGGTGGCACAAAACCCAAGGCTTTCTGCGGTCAAACTATGCCATGAAATGCAGGAACGCTTTAAAGAAAATATTAACCCTCAAACAATACGGAACACATTATACAGAGCTGGTTTCCATGGAAGAGTCCCCCGTCGCAAGCCTTACATTTCGAAAGAAAATCGGAAGAAGAGACTGGAGTTCGCTAAGCTCCATTTAAATCAGCCGGAATCATTCTGGAATAGTGTAATATTCAGTGACGAATCAAAATACAACTTATTTGGGTCAGATGGCGCGCAAAAAATTTGGCGGAAGCCTAACAAAGAACTCCAAGAAAATAACATAATCAAAACAATTAAGCACGGTGGGGGAAATGTCATGGTGTGGGGGTGCATAGCTGCATCTGGAGTCGGAAACTTGGTCTTCATTAATGAAAAAATGGATAAACATGTGTTCCTCAATATCTTAAAAGAAAATTTACTTCCAAGTGCGGAGAAATTGGGGTTAAATGGACGTAGTTGGCAATTTCAACAGGACAATGACCCAAAGCATACGTCGTATCTGGTGCAGGAATGGCTTATATGGCATTGCAAACAATTAAAAACACCCCCACAGTCGCCGGATATGAATCCTATCGAGCATATTTGGAACATTTTGGAAAAAAAAATACGCAAACATAAAATAACATCAAAGGATTCCCTCAAAGATGCTATACGCACGGAATGGGCAGAAATAACTCCTTTGGAGACATCCAACTTAGTCGGAAGTATGCGTAGGCGCTTAGAAGCAGTTATCCAGGCTAAGGGCGGTGTTACAAAATATTAGGTGTGTAAAGGTTACCGTTATATTTGCAAATATACGACGAATTAATGCTGTGTGCCAAGACTTTTTTGATGTGTTTTCAAGCTATTTCTTTCTTCTTTCTTGTATATTTTCAGTTGTATGAGAGATAGCGGAACAATTTCACATGTGTTGTGTAGATAATTACCAAATGTTACTAACTGCATCACAAAAAATTTTCAAAGCCCATTAATAATAAGTATTAAATACGTTTTTCATAAAAAATTCTGCTTGTGCCAAGACTTTATTGATTCACTGTATATACTTTATAGGGTCGGAGATGCCTCCTTCTGCATGTTACATACTTTGCACAAACCTAATATACCCTTTTTACCCTACGGGTACAGGGTATAAAAACCTACTCATTTATGCTATCTTTGAATATTTCAATACTTACACCCATTGGAGCTGCAACTTTTTGTCCGGGGGCGAATTATCTGCCGGGGCGTGATGGACGGGCGGATAGAAAGTGCGACGCAAGCCTCGTATGGTCACCTTTGTGGGCTCCTCTTTCATGATGTCCAGCATGGTGTATTCACCGTTGGGACGCAAAATCTCACTTTCCGGGGCATAAAGTATGCGTGGACGGCTCTTGCTGCGCGGACGTGCACCGCGTAATGGCACCTTAGGCAGGTCCTCCGTGGGCAATATGGGCGCGGCAGCCACCACAGAGGGGCGCGAGCGAGAACGGCGAATGGGGGAGCCGGCAATGAGCGCTGTCCCAGTGGCCAGATAGAATGTGTCCACATCGGCAAACTCATTGCGTAGCTGCGAGAAACTGCGAACCTGTATGTGTGTTTGTGTATGTGTGTTGGTGTGTTGGTGTGTGTATTTGTGTGTATATGTATGGGAGAAAATTGTCGACAATTTGTGACATTCATTTTCACAACTCGTGCACTTTATTAAGCTATTATGTCGGGCGTCAAGGACAAGACGAACAACAACTGTATCCTCCTACCACTTACCTCCTGACCCGTGCCAGTGTACATTTTCTTGGCGCCATTAATTTTCAACACTTGACCCAAATCCTCGAGCACTTCCTCAAAGGGCTGTGAGGTGCGCAGGTTTAATAGAACGCGACACTGTAAAAAAACAACAAATGAACAAAAAGCATATCAAATCACATGCAAAATCGGCTGACAAATGGGTGAGGTACAATGGGACGGGTGAATGGTATTGTTTTTAAAAATATGGTTCATTACAACTAAATAATTGTTTTATTTTTTATGTTCAAGAGTAACAAGACGCGTCGTTACAGTAGTAATTTTATTTTTTTTTTCAAAAGCAATTGCTTTGTGTTCAGACTGATGAAGGACGTATGTATTTACTCATCAATTTATTTCCGCCATTCGCATATATAAACAGTATGTTTTAATACAACTGAATACATAGAAGTTGTACATAATTTCACTAATATTTAACGTTTACTTGAGCATTTTTTTAACAAATTTTTCGACAACTCCCACGCAAACAATACGACGCGCTCACCAATCCGCGCAAAACTAAGCCTTGATCTTCAGCTGCCAGCTGTCTCTCTCTTAGAATGCAAAAGTGAAAGCAAAGAATCAAAAATCAAAGCTGTCAAGCAACTGGCATGGGCGTAGCAAGCATCATACCAAAGGGGATGCATGCAAATTGTTATTTAATTAACATTTTTCAAATTATAAAATTTGTCAATTAAAAATTTTTTAATCAAAACTTCGGCAGACTTGTTTAGTTTTTGTAAATGTTAATAAATATCGATATATTATGTATTAAAGCATTATTGTCATCCTGTCTTCAACCATGTTGATTAACTGTTAAGTAAAATTTGCTTTGCTTTGTCTTTTATTTCTTTGCTGTCATTCTCATTTGAAAAGAGAGCATCACTCAGCAGAGAGAGGGAGAGAGAGTGCGTGTGTGCAACACGAAGATAAGCAGTTTTTAGTTTTGCTTAAAACTGTCAAGCCGGCCCGCGTTGCGCGTGTGTTTAGTTTCGCAAAAAACATTAATAAATGTATTTATTTCTAATTTAAATAGTATATTAGTATAAATTTGTCGTTGTATATGAAAATGCATATAAAATAATATAAATCGTACTGCCGCTTGAGTGTGTGTGCCTATGTCGGCTTTTTTTGCTCTGTTTTTTATGTGTTGTGAACGTGATTTGTGAAGTATGTACATACATACATACATATGAACATAAATATACATATGTATGTGCGTATATACTACATACATAGGTATGTAAGTGATTTAGAATCAAGTTCTTAGTGTTTTTTGTTGTTGTTTTTTTAAGTGATTGTAAAAGTGTGTGCAGTTTAATAATAGATTTGTAATAAAAATGATCTGCATTTACATATGTTATGTATTAATGTAAGTACACAATTTTTTATACATTTCTTAACAACGTTTAAATTCTGTTATGAATTTTGCGTGCATTAACATACAGCGATATGTGTGTACGTATGTATGTAACCAATTGTGTTTCTTATTAGTTTTATTCGAACATTCTTTGCGCATATTTACACAAATTCGTATAACAGTGTATAACAGCGTATACCAATTGGGCTCATATTTGCAAACAGCAGGTCGCCACTACAATGAGCAGCACAAGTGTTGCCAGCTTAACATATTTCGCCCGCTTTGGAGCCTTTTAAATGCCGAGAGCGGGAAAAAGAGTTGAAAGTGTGGCGGGAAGGGCTTACAGTTTTTTGAATATTCAAGTGACTGTTTGATAAGAGTTGGGTAGAGTAATTAAAATAATTAATTAAATTTTTCTAATATATACATGACAGAATGGAAACACTTTAATGTTCGAGCACAAAATTAATAATTAATGCACTAAAACAATTGATCTTCGAGACGGATGAAATCGGGAATTCGTGTAGCTTAAGCTTATCATTTGATTTTTTTTTGCCATTGATTTTTATGGTTTCTCTATTGATATTAATCGTGGCAATTATTGCGTTTACTATTTATACTTATTTTCGAATGAACTTTTCCTTTCCTTTCCTTCTCCTCTTTATAAAAACAAGTAGAAATATGAAGATATTAGTGGAGTTTTTGCTATACACTTTGTTTTCCCAAACCATTTTTCCATTTGTCTCCACTGTCTGTCGGATAATCGTTTATTTATGTGTGTTTGTGTTCGTGCGTAATTAGTCTGCACCATAAAATATGAATTATTAGGCTCTGAGTATTGACCGTGCGTTGTGTTCACTTCTCAACAACTTGACCTGTGTCAAAAATTTCGCCATAGCACGCAACTTCCGCTGGGGTCGGAGTGGCCGTAAGCTCAGTATACACAGGAAAAAAATTCAAAATTTATTCGAACACATACGAAACTAATGTTTATAGTATAATTATAATGTATGTGTGTGTGTGTGTGCGTAAATTTGGTCGACGGCCTCGCAGCCAAAGTCTGATCAAAAGTCTGTGTGACCCAGTTCCCAGTTATGCTTTTATGCTTAATATGATTATTTGTTGTTGTTGCTGGTGATAGGGGAGGGGGGTCCTCCAGTTTTTGCAGCATTGTTTGCTAACTTGTTGTTGTTGCACTTGAGCTTTTGCGCTCATAATTGGGTGTGCGTCTCAAACAAACACACACACACACAAATACAGACACAGAGCAGCATGCTACTCTTTGTTGCATTTGTTATCCCGACTCCGTGCTTGGGTCATTTTGTCTTGGCTTTGGCTTTCTGCCTCTCACTGCTTATTTTCAAGTGAGGCACTCGAGTTTTAATGACCTTCAGGCTTTGATAAGTATTGTTCAAGCGAGTCTACGTTGCATTAAAGGCGAAATGGCTATTTTTTCTTGACTATGTTAAACAGCTTGCTTGCCTTCTTAACCGCTTTAAATTTCAGCATTAAAGATAAAATGAATTTGGCTGCAATTGCGACAATTGTGAGCTTATGAAAAGTTGTGGCCATCGTGTAATTTCAGCACCAACTTAGCATAAACTCTCCTTAATTTATGTATCAAGTTTGTCTTCGAACCGGCGTCGTTTAAATGGGTTAATGTCTGTGCTGAGTGGTCCTCAATTGAGATCTGGACTCGTTGCGAAAGTTTATGTTGAACAATTTTTTGCTCTCGTTTTGAATCTGTGAAAAAGTTTGATAATTTCGCATGCTAAATTATATCAAAACGACCATATACTTAGTCCTTATGTCAGAGCTCATGAGGTATACGTTATAAATTCTTAAAGATTAAAACGTTTATAATTAAAGTATCAACATAATTTGTATTCGTATAAAATAATTTTAATGATGAGCTATGTATGAATTGAAAAAACTATGAACATTCTGTACAAAATTATTAGATTCTTTTAGATCCGACATCAAAAAATAAAAGCAATTATAAAACTACTATATAAAATATCAGAGAATTGGCAAGAAAACATATTTGGACAGATCGACTCTGAAGGAAGTTCTAACCATAAATGAAATCTCTGCTCATACCCGACAGCTGTTGTCCCTGCTGCCTTGGCACTCAACTGATATACAAATGGACACAAACACGATGGAAATTGATGCTTTTAAAACTGGGTTTAGGGTATTTAAGAGTTGTGCCTGCTCGACTCTGGTATTCCATTCTTATTCATTTTATATTTTAACGCTTGAGAGTTGGTGAAGCTAGAAAATAAATCTTTAAATACCTCAATCGGGTTATACTCATATTTTGATTTATTTCTAGATTCCAAATCAAAGCTAAAGCTCTGTGGATTTTTCGAAAGTACACATTTAGTATGTCTGTGACCCTTTTTCTTTGTTGTTATGATTTTGTATTTTTTCTATTGGAATTGTGCTTTTACTTGGGCCAGTTTGATTTAGAGGCATTTGCAAAAATAGCCGAACGCCAGCATTTGGTCCAACAAGCAAAGCAACGCATGGTTTTTATGGGTCGTTAGGTGGGCTGAACCACCTGGCTGCAGACGGAGAGCCCAGCAACAGCAATGGAGCAGGTTCACCACTATTTATCACAATTTATTTATTGTTTATCAAAGCGAAACACCTGTGACGTTTATTAAGAGGCAGAGGGAGTGGGAATTCTAGGCCATTTCCGTTAGTCCATGAATCAAATGGCGAACACTGTGTTTCAATATTCGTGGTGATTTTTTCAGCTTTTCTCAACATTATCTTTTTGTTTTTGCTTTTCCCTATTTTCAATTCCATGCTTTGCAAAACTGATCTGAAACTAATATTTATGCTATGCACTAAGTATTATTTGTCTCTGCGATTCTAACGAAAATGAATGAATGAAAACCACAGCATAGTTGGCCGAGAGGCAAATCATATTCCATCGGGGCGGAGGCGTTTCTTAGATACTTATTATTGTAATTTGATTAGACTTCTCGTACTTAGACTTTTCTAGCTTAAAAGGTTTTTTTTTAGAATTTATATACATATATTCCTATGTCGACAGTCAATGTTTGTTGACAGAAATGTATATAAGATTTTAGTTTGCTAATCACAATATGCTGAATGAATACGTAACAGTCTCGATTCTATCAATATGTATATTTATACATTCAATGTTTTAAATCCTTTTGCGGAAGTGCTCGAGGTTGGGTTTCTTAGAATAAGAAAGTTGCTAAGTTAACGATTACGTTTAATAATAATAATAAAAAATATTTATGTATATACATTCAATGCGAACTATGTGGTGGCTGGGTACATTCTGGAGAATGTTGATTATATATGATGGTGGTTATTAATAGGTTTCACATGATGCTGAAGGCATTTTCTAGTCAATTTCAAATTTAATTTAGTGTGAAATTAAATGGCAGCCCAAAAGTACGCACTAAATTATTCAATGTGACGCACTTATTAGCATTTTGGCACTCAACGGTCTGCACTTCCATGCATGCATGCAAGGGTGTATGTGTGTGTGTGCGTGTGTGCGTTCCTCATCGATTGGAAAGTATAAATTATGCATGAATGCCACTTATTAGACAAGACACGACTCGACTCGACTCAATTCACCCATTTGTTTGGCTGTCGTCTGGGCTCACTCACACAGTTACGTCTTCGTTTAAGATGAGAGACACAGACACGTATGTGTGCTTATGCATGCAATATAAACAAATACAATTATGTG